CAGCGCAGAGAGTGAAGTCCATGCTGTCGCCTGCAAAGTCATCGGAAGCGAGCCTTACCTTTTGGAATGCTTCTTGATGTATATAGATATTATAAGTTAATCAGAACCTGGCCTCCAAGTTCCCTGTCAAAGGAAGCTACTGCTTTGCCGCTCTTGCGAAAAGCCTTTGAAACATTTCCTTGACCACTGAACAGCTCAATGAGGTTCCATGAGAGATCGGGCATTTCAGTCCACTGTAGCAACAAGACCTAGGCCCGAGCAACTATAAGCTGTTTCTATATCCTATAGGAAACTGTTTCCAAACAGCGCCGCTTAGCTTTGAACGATTGCGACAAAGACCTCGCAGGCACAACCCAGTGTGACAAGTACTCCTATATATATATATGGTTGAAGACAAGGCCAGGACCTTGGGTGCATCCATTTGATATAACGGGATGAGGAGCGATTCCATACCTATCACACCTCTACCGCCGTTAGTCCCCTAGCTGCAGCAAACAGGCCTTGAGACAGCAACTGCGGTAATTAAGCAGGTCTGTTGAGAAGACTGTTTGTCCTTCTGTGTAGCATCAGCGGTAGACAACGTGGCAGTTTGACCGCGTGAGGCAAGAAGAGCTTGGATCCCCATTGGCGTACCTGACGCGGGGCTTTGCGAGTCCGAGAGACTAGTGAGATGGGATGCAACCATTTCAGAACAAGAATTCTAAAGCTGATACATCATATTCTAGATATATATAGTACTTCCTATTTGTTCAGCTTTCCCCAACAAAAGAAAAATGAAACACCGGAAGTGCATCCTGCAAACATATCGTTTTCACCTTGAATGGAGTCAGGTTGCTGCACACACATGATCAGGCTGCTCCATACACAGCACACGTGTGTAGAAACGCAGCAGAAACTGCAAATGCAAATCCCATTTTGGCCAATACATGTTTTTTCAATGCATTGGCAAACCCAGGTCGCCCTTAGGCAAAACAATCCCCACGCTCAGCTTTCACTCATTCGCACTCTCGATAAGCCTGAGACATGGCACGCACGCATTTTGCTTAATAGCTGATAGTGTAGATGGCACAAGGTTGAGATGAGTGGCCTTCTTTGCAGCTGCATTTTGCTCTTCTTTGGAAAGTCCTTCCTTTTTAGCTCGAAGTTTTGCTTGGTGGTAAGCGCTGCTCTTGCGGCTTGCTTTGGCTTTGGCGGCTTGGACATCGGCTTTTGGCTTTTTGGTTGTCTTGGATTTGGGTTTCGTCTGCTGCACCTTATTGTTTAAGTCCTTTCCCTTCCTGCCTCCTCCATTCCTTTTGGGCTCCTTGTTTGTGTCCTTTCCCTTCCTGCCTCCTCCATTCCCTTTGGGCTTTGCCTCATTCTCCTCGCCTTCACCTGAACCTCGTGCGCTATCAACTGTCTTGGCTGACTTTGCCTTCCTCAACGTAGACCTGCCTCTGCTCTTACGTTTCACAGGTGCTCTCGGTTTCTGTGATTCCTCAACGGGTGTGCTTGCCAGTTTGGCACGCTTGTTCTTTGTACTGTCACGCTTTGTTGTCTTTGTTGCTCCTGTAGTGCTCCTGCAACGCTTCTGCTTCTTGCTTGATGTTGTTGCGTCCTCGGACTGCTTTGCTTTAGTTGACCCCCCGCTCCCGTTGGCTAATGCCTCTACTTCAGCATCAGTCATTCCATGAGTGGAGAACCCCAAGGCTGCAGCACTCGGTCGGCCCTTAGAGCTGGCAGGTCGGCCCTTAGAGCTGGCAGGTCGGCCCTTAGAGCTGGCAGGTCGGCCCTTAGATTCATTCTCATCTTTCTTTTTCCTACCCCGGGGTTTTGCAGGACACTGGACGGCAGCTGCAACAAACAAGTCTTTGCGCATACAAGCTGGACGTTCCGGAAGCCCATCCTGCATGCCAGGAATTTAAAGAACACGTGCACTGAGCAGAAACGCTTGCTGTCCTCCCCAGAAATTTGCGGACTCTGATCCAACTCTTCCCCTGTCAGCACCTGCAACGAGGCGATGCACCTTGCCCTAAACATACCTAAACACTCTATAGATATAATAATATACACCGCGGTACGTACATGATATATAAAGTCTCTGATACCCAGTAGCGCCTCAGGTTTGTGTTCAACCTCAGGTGCCTGAGCGTCCTGCGACAGGTTGGAAATGAAACACAGCGTCATGGGTGCAAGGTTTGCCAACTAGAAACTGAAATATGAAACAATCCTGGTCGTCGGACTTAGCAGGGACATCGACTTCCATAGTCACCACGGCCTCCACATGAATGCAGGATTGACAGTCCGACCCCAGCAGCTAAGATATAGGTTGAGAAGCCACAACGGGCGCGCATAAGAATCCTTATGCGCGCCCTTTGTGGCCATTGTACCTTATAAGCCTTAAGTTGCAAATTGGTCAATTCATGAGCTGTCCTTGTCGTCGCTAATGGGTTCTTCCTTTTCGTTGTCCGCACCAAGTCCTCGCACACCCAGCCACAAGTATAGCACCTTCTCCACATATATACTTCTTAAGACTCAGAACCTTCAACTCTTTGCCATATGCATGTAAAAGTGTCCAGTGTGTTGAAGCGCTGCCAAATCATTAATGGAGGAGGTCCTTGAACCGGGTGTGATGCTTGTGGCGGGGTCTCTGTCTTGGTTGTCTCAATCTTGTCCTCAACAGCGTGCGCGCCGCACAATTGAACTATATACATGAAGCCAATCCTCCAATGTAGATTTGTTCTCCACACTTGTGGGCCTGAGAGCCACAGCCAACCATTTTGAATACATAATATTACCAAAAAGATGGTCACATTGACACGTGCATATCAAAATATAGTCTCAGCTGACGACCCACTAGTAACGTCAGCTGCAGGAATCACAGTGGCCTGGCCGGTTGTTTCAAGAAAGGTCATGATCGTATACTCTCTGTGTGTAAAAACTTTCCCACGCTACCAGGCGAGCATTTTAGTGATTACCCTGGCCTGGTCCAGAACAAACTCAACCATCCCATAGTCCAATGGAAGTGTCTCCACATTGTCGATGTTCACTCCTGCAAAGATCGTACCGGTAAAAGTTGCCATGAAAATTTGTTAAGTTTGCTGCCTGGAACTGGTGGCAGGGGGCTCTTCACTTTTGCCGCCAAGGCCTCCAACCTCTCTAGAGTTTGAAGTTGGGCTTCCAGGGCCCTCAAGTTGCTGAGTCTCTTCTGGCCAGCCTCAAAAACATGGGTGAGGCTGCGCCTTTAGAGTCAGCGAGCGTATGTAAAAAAAACTGACGCCACATAGTCAAAACTTTAATCCAAGTAACCTGCAGTGCCTCTGGAGTAAAGGTTGGAGGGACTGTTGTTTTTGGCGGGGGCGTGACCAACCTCGAGGGTGTAGGTTCTGGGCTGGCAATAGTCTTTGGCAATGAAGTGTTATTCTCGGTACAACCACCAGAGTCGCCTGGCAACAACGCATTGAACTTACAACAGTATGCACGCACCATTTGCGGCGATTAAATTTGCAAACAGTAAGCGCGTACAATCCCACCCCACCTGAAGATAGATGGACCTGCTGTGGCTCCTCCTTTGCCGCCTCCTTCCCTTCTACAGAGAGCTCTACTTTTCCACAAACCTTTTCAGAAACCTCACCTGCTGTTGCTGCTTCCTTCTCCTCGTTCATACTCTCATCTTTGCACTCTTCATCTACCTCCCTGGGTTCTTCCTCCTCGCCTTCTTCATTGTATCCTTCATTTGCCTCGTCTTCTGCCTCATTCTCTGCTTCTCCCTCATCTTCTTCTTCTTCTCCCGCCTCTGCCGCTTCCTCCCCTGCATTCTCCCAAAAGACCCCTAGTGCATCCATATACCTTCTCAGCTCTGGGTCTCGAGGTCGGTTTGGACGATTCACAAGACGATTGTTCGTAAAGCTGATCAAGCGTCTGAGCTGCCACCCCTGGGTGTCAGTCACCAAGCCTAAGACTGTGTCAGGCAATCCTGACATCAACTAAGCTGTAGTCTTAAGACCCCAACACTTTCAAAACCAAATAGTACAATTTGGATGTAATCAATTGTGCCAAAACACCTGGACACGGAATCTTCATTGTCTCATAACATGCCGCTACATGGACCTGGCATGTTTTCACACCAACTCTATAGCCAAGGGCTTGAATTGCTGGAACCAACAGGTCGATGTTCTTCTTCACGGAGTCCCTGTCTGCTGCACCATCCAAAACTTCCACCTCAACTTACTGGTGTTACAGGCTGTAGGTGTTGTGCAACCTTCAACCTACAGGATTTGCAACAGCCCCCACAAGCACCCTACCAAACTAATGTTGGCAAGTTGCCAGCTGCAGTCTTCTTGCTCTATCCCGAAGTGTCCCAACTGCTTCCCATTGCTGGGCTAAAGCTGAGTGCGCCATCGTGTTGTCAAAAAGTGTATGCATACACACAGTGCACATATGCATGCATAAATGCATTAGCGGCTTGATAGCAGCTTGAACTGAGCCTGTTGGTGGCAGCAATCAACTCTTGAGACCAACCCTTAGTGCACAAGTGGAAGCAATTGGACGACGAGAAAAGGCAGCTCAGTGGGCAGGGCGCACCTCAATAGCAAGAGCCCCTCTCCAGCTTATCAGTAGCGCTCATTCCAAACAATCCATGCCAAGTGGACACCCACCTTTTGTGGGGGTCGCTGAGTCTTTGATAATTGTTGTTGTGTTTGTTTTCTTGCACAAACATTGAGAAATCTCAAGGTCTTGTGTAATCATCTATGTTCTTGAAGGTCATACACCAACATCTTCCTGGTCACACCAAGAACTGAACTATTGGGCCGATATGGCTGGTTTGAACGCTTGCAATGATTTGCGGCTGTTTGTGGGCAAAGCTAGGTCAATGAACCAAGAGTTTAAAATATTCTTACCTTTTGAAGGTCCAGGATGGTTTTATCAAGCCCCCAAACGCGTCGACTCCCATTTTCCGAGGGCACTTTCACAGGTCGACTCCCCTGCAGGGCCCTCCGATTTCACTGGTCGACCTGCAGGAGACTCGACAGATGTTCGACAAGCGAGAGCTGCGGAAGCACCTCGGCTGCGGGGTCCTAGGGGGCCTGGGGTCAGTAGCTGTCCTGTAGTCGCAATTCAGGCCCCACAGAAGGGATAGCGTGTGAGACTTGGGCGTGTCACATTAAATAGGGCGACCATCCAGTTCGGCCCTCTGGAAGGTTGGAAATATTGACCAAGACCAGTTGGTTGAGGTCTCCATATGTTTGAATACATCTCTTCCAGGGAGTCCCGTCTTGTCACAAGACGGGGTGCCGGTTCGGAACGAACGGAGGAAGGAGTATTCGTCGGTGCCCCGTCGTCACCTCGACGAGCCACAGCACCGGTCCTTAGGAACAGTGGAACAGATGCACCAAGTTACGGGTGTTGGTGGTGGTTACATTCCCTAGGGATCCAAGTACCTCCTCAAAAGGTACTTGGACCCTCCAAACCCACCCCAAACACCTTCTCAGAGGGTACTTGGATCCATAGGGATTACATACCAGCTATGGTGGCCTGGATCCACTGGAACATTCAGAGTTAGATCGTCCCCCCCGGTCCTCCGATCACGGCTAGCGGATCCGTTGCGATGTGAACCAACTCGTCTCAACCGCTTCTTGGTTCTAAAGCAACGCATGCGTCGTTCATGGACCACCTACGGAGGCAGCAGACTCTCATCCTCTGGAGGGGTCTGGGGTCTTGAGGGGGCTGTGAAGGTTCGCGATCTGGGTGGCTCAAAGAATTCACCCAGTTCCAACCCTAGACACTCCATCTCTACACCTCCGGTCGTACCGAACCTCGGCTCAGAAGGTACGACTGGACGCCAAACGGGCATGGAAGAGTTACATGACATGCACTGCATGGAACATCCAACAGAGGTTGAAAGACCCTATAGGCTATCCCCTAGGTACCCCTGTAGTGTCCTATAAGGTCACTTAACCTCTGTTGGATGTCCAGTGTTCCCGTCGACACCAGGCGCCACAAGGAGCTCTTCGAGCAGCACGTGGATCAGTGGCGACGAAGACAGACAGCTCCTCGACGTGGAGCCAATCCGTGCAGCGAAGAGATGCGCACATGGACGTTGAGTATGGAGTTGAGTGGTCCCTACCAGGACCTTCCAAGTCAGGTGTTTTTTGGACACACCCTTTGCCTCTAAGAGGCTATTGATATTCACCTCTTGGAGGGTCCTGGTATGTCGTGTCTGATCGTGAGTGGAGGTGAATGTGCGGCACCGACGACCTCCTTCCTCCGTTCGGAAGTGATGACCCCGACATGTGATTCCTGGCAGGTGATGAGATACCAGGACCCTGAAAAAGAATGAGAGGCTCCATAGCAAGGGTCTGGGCCCTCAAACCCTATCTGTTTGAGGGCCCGGATTCTTAGGGTGGGGACCCAACCAGGTTCGGTGGTTTCTGGGCTCCGAGCTGGTCACCCCAGGCACCAGGCTGGAAGGTCAATCGAGGTAGTTCTGAAATGCGGCCAATGGGGCTAGCAATGCCCAGCCCCTTCCACCCGACCGCCCAAAAACCACCGGGCACTGGGCCATTTCTCGGTCTCACTGGCAGTCCCATTCCACCTGCGCCGTTTCTTCTGGGATGAAACGACTAAAAGCTTCGGACCGGGTCCTGTTGCGGAGGTCAAACGCTCAGACTCACCCAAGGAAGACTGGGGGCTTGGGTTCGGTGAATTGAAGAGGGTCGATAACAGTGCCGGAGCCGATATCAGATATTACCCTACACCGACTTCGTCGTACCTCCTCAGGAGGTATGACTGGACCCGAACATGGCACCCACCCCAGTCCCACCTTCTCAGAAGGGAGGCCAAACGTAAACGGCAACGGGTTATAGTGATGGCATATGCCTCGACACTCACTCCATTGCACTCTAGAAAATGGGACATGACCCAATCATGAGGTATGTTGAGACTGTAAAGTACCAACAATATTGGATTGCAAAAACGCCTGGCGATATGAGCACATACGGTGCTCCTGATAGTAGCTCTTCTTTAGCGTCCTTCGTCGAGGAGAGAAACACAGGGCTGATGATAAGCTGTGTAGGGATCCAGTCGTACCGAACCTGAGGTTCGGTACGACTGGATCTTTATAAGGGATGACTCCAGCAGTTTTGAAGTGAAGCGCAGAACTTCCGGATGTTCCCAGCGTTGGGCCAGACGGCCATAGTCCATGGTCCATGTTTTTTCAGCATCGGTGCTTCGGAACACACAGTGATGCCTGGCCCAAGGGAACCAGATGGAACCAGATGGAACCAGGATTCCGGCATGAGTCATGAGAGATGTGTTTGTCTCGGATCGTCGAGGTAACCACTCAGTGATGCTTGGAGACCAGCACCTTCAGCCAAAATTTGAGTTCCCTTTGGATGACGGAAGCGAAGACACAGCTCCAGAGCCGTTGAACTGAGGATTCTTCGAGCCCGGAAGCTGAACAATGTCGGGTACGAGTCTATGTGAGGAAGCGCCCTCTATTCGAATATGAGAAAGAAGAAGAGACTTGGCCGATTTTTTCCCGGGTCTCCCGGTGGGTCTCCCAGTCGATCGTGCCTTCTGAAAACGGGAGCCCGGAACGCCTGGGAGGTCTCCCTGGTTGAATACACCAGGTGTTCTGCAGTATTTCGCCATCCCTAAAATAGGATCATAGATCAAGATATCTCAAGATCCTCCCTGGACCTCACTTCGTTCGTACCGTAGAACAGGACAGGACCCCCACAAAAAAATCTATCAACGACGGCAGTCACGTCTACTTGCACCATCTTCTACCAGCCATGTTTGGGTGCCGAACGAACGAAGAAAGTCGGAGGGGTCCATATAACATCCACATCCAGCTGGGCCTGGGACTTGAAAAGGGATTCGGGAACTGCCTGGGTATATAGATCTCCAAATAGATAGATGACTCTTTCTATCTCTTGATTGTGTGACCGGACCCAAATGACATGAGTTCTTTGACCTGGGTTACCTGTTTTTTTTGGGGGTCGGGTGACTCGAACACAGATTCGACTCAGCTGAGTCATTGCTCTTTGGGTCGGCTTCATATCGTCTTGGTTTTGCTTATTAGGAGGATCTTCTATGATTCTTCCATTTGTCCCGAACTGGTGACTGACTTCACTTCTGGGGAAGATGATATGCTATTCCGTTATTCCCTTCTCTCTGAATGGCCAGTACAAGATTGAGGGGCAGCTTGGCTGCCTTGGCTCCCTGCACATTCCTGGGTTTTCCTTCTGCACAGTCGTTTGCAAGCGGGACATTCTCCGTTGAAGCAGACATGGAAGAGGGTGACCGTCCAGAGCTCAGGAAGAGTTCGATGCCAGAGCCTTAGCCCGATGCTATGCTCGAGGGGCTCGAGGGACATGAGAGAAACCACTTTGCAATACTTTGCACACATTGGCAGTTGTGGTGGTATCCTTTTGTCACCGTGGTCACTGGCATAGTCACAGACTCCCAGATGCTCTTCATGTTTCTTCAGTGAAACCGGAGTATTGCTCTAGATCATCCCTTCAACCAGCGCGGTATAGAATGAATCTCACTGCTGGGAGGGAGTCACATAGTCTTGGACAACAGAAAGAATCAAAATGCCTACTACTGATGATTGCAGAACATGACATGTCAAGCAGTAAAGCATCTACTTTCTTGTCAGATATCTCAGATATCTATTCTAATAGTTTATAGTAAATAGACTCTTGGGCATCTTCTTTTCTATGCTCTTGTGTCAAGTGCATTCAAGTACAAGGTATCTCAAATCTCGGCCACCGAACATGGGACATCCAAACCAACACGTCCATCCCCGGTCGAGGAACTCATTTCACAGGGTCGAATCATACAAGAATCAGAATGAATCAGATAGAAGCAGTATACTGCACTTAGTACATCTTAGTACTCCTTGTTCTGAGCTACGAAGAGCTCCACTCCAGGTTTCTTCTTCATCATCTCGCGTCCGGAACACGACCTTTTTCGGGAAGACATGCTTAAAAGCACATGCTTATAAGCACGTCCGGAACCACGCTGAACTTTTGGTCGTGTCATCGGGATCGGGCCGAGGTGGCCACGGCCTTGGGCCGCAAAATCGTCATCCACAACTGCCTCACGACGCCCGGACCGTCCACAGCGCGCGCTACTGCCGGGTTCGGCACGGTGAAGGCACCGGTGAACCGCGAAGAAGGCGAAGGCGGCGGCGGGAAGATGGCGCACAGCACCGGTGGGAGATGGCGCCATGAAGACGCACGCGACAACTACGGAAGTTGTTTTTAAGGCGAAATCGACGAGAAAAAAGGTGGCACTGGAGAGGTGAAAGGTGGATGAGGTGCATGCGAAAAGGCATTTGGAAGATGACTGGCCCGGCGTTTGGGGCATAGGAGGGACAGCAAGTGATCACAGGATGTTTTAAGTGTTTTTTGAGGCTTTGGAATAAGGAGCAGGATCATCCATGTTTCATCATGTTTCCAAAGCACGTCGAATTGCCCAAGGAAAGCTGACCTTCGTTCCCTCTTCATTTCGCACATGGGCTTCCAATTTGCACACGTCCCTTGCCTTCATCGCTCGGCAATCGCATGTGCGTCCAATTTGTCGGCCATCCACTCGGTGTTTCGCAATGTCCATTTGATCCATTTCCTCAAATCATCCTGGAAGTGGATGATGGATGGAGTCTCAGTTCGTACCTCAACAAATGGGTACACACCTTCTAAACGTACCTGCATGGTGTTCTTTGTTGCGGGTCAGTACACGTCGTCCCATGGTTCGGGACTTCGGTACTAAGGAATTCCGAAGGACTTCGGTCGGGTGCAGTAGCTGCATCGCCCCAAAGACTTGACATATGCCAGACACGACATGTCTGGGACTGCCAGTCCGGACTGCCGCCCCATTGACCCCCAGTCAACCACCCCTGGCCTGATCGGCAGTCCTATGGCAGTCCCATGGAGTGTTTGGGTATGCATGGCAGATAAAATGCCAATAGCATCAGGAAAGACACGACCCGTCTGGGACTGCCAGGACGGACTGCCTTCAAAACGGCCAGGGGTGGTGCAAGTCGGGGGTCTTGTTGGGGCGGCAGTCTGGCAGTCCCAGACAAGCCAAGTCTGGGTCAGGAAAGACGGATTTGGGTGACGAAACACCGCCTAAGAAGGACATCAACCGCTTATAATTACCCTACACCTCTTTCGTCGTTCCTTTCACCTCAGCGGTTCGGTAGCTCCTGGACCCGACGGAACATGGCACCCACCGCCCCGGTCGTCCCACCTTCTCCGGTTCGCGCTTCGGCACCGACCAACGAGGGCCAGTCACGGGAAAGAAGCCACCAGAGTCTGCTCCCCCAAGTCCCACTCCCAAGGCACATCTCTTTGGAACCGAAGAGTTGGTGGAGTTGGAGAGTGGTTAAGAGGAACCGAAGAGCTTTTTGGTTTCCCCTCACAGGCGCTGTTGGGCGGTCTCACATTGGGCCGAGGTTGGCCTCAGAACTAGTAGGGCCCATATCCTCAGAAGGTGGTTAGACCCCCCTGGCACCCACCCCAACCATCTTCTCAGGAGGTGGTTGGAGCCCTAGGGTTACATACCTGGAGCAGCCTTTGAATGCAAAACACGCCACGGGTCCGACAACAAGATTTTGGGAGCGGTCAAGTCATGCCCCAAAAATGCCATATGCCATATATGTGTTGTTTTTTGTTGGTGTTCTTGACCTGCACCTGGCACAGATAGGGCACAATGAGGCAGAATTGAGAAAACAAACCTATAGACGCACCTACACAGCACGCTCTCCAGTTCAACTTTTGGCATTCCAACGGGTGATGAAGGGATCACTCTTGGAGGCTGATGCAACTTGTAACATTTGACTTGCGCAAGTCATAATATGGCAGACACAGTGGCGGAATATGGTGGACATTTGCGCGAACATGGCGAACACTTGGAGACTGGACATTTGCACTTGGACACCGCACAATTTACGCACGAATCTGATTGACCAGGCTGTTTAAGCCGAATCCTTGGCAGACACCTGAGAAAAACTGTTGAATTATCCCAGTGTATTTGTGGTCCAAGTTTGCCTCTGAAGGGATGCCGTATCACTGCCATATGTCGTGTTTGTTCCCCAAGATCACATTTAACAATCCAACATGGCACTTTGTCATTGTCAATCTGTTTCCTCCGCTTTGAACTATATATCGCACGCTTTGGGGGGGAATCAGGTGGTACATTGGGATCATACGTGGGGTCAATGTAACTGTTCCATACCAGGACCTTCCGTAAGAGGTGTTTGTACATCGCCTCTTAGAGGTGAGTCGAGGTGTCCAAAAATCACCGGACTTGGAAGGTCCTGGTAGATGGATAGTCTGGGGAGGGAAGACAGATTTATTGACGAACATGTAACATGCAGAAAACTGGTCTGGGGTCACCTGCCACTTGGCCGTCACGGGCCTTGGAGGAAAGGTTTCTGCCCTGAGGATCAGGTCAACGGTCCAAATCGAAAGGATCGGTAAAGGTTTGATGGGCCTCTTTAGGGGGCAGCGCATGCAGAGTGCCACATCATTTAGCCGTAGCTGCCAGGCAGACTACCAAGTTGCTAAGACCCTTCTCATGATCCAGGGTGCATCACTTCCATAAAGCAAGTGTGGTTGTGTATCTATACCCTAGACTTCCAAGACCATTAAACACATGGTTGACCTGGTTTTTGTAACGTAAAATCCTTAGTTGATTCGGTAATAAAGCTTATCAAGTTATAATGGTTGTTGGAAGCCTAGGGTATTATACTATTTTATGTTATACATACTGCAGGTTTTAGGTGTCACCCTTCAACACTACAGTCGTTTCGGAGAAGATTGCACACCAGTTCAGCCACCTTTCCATGCGGTTTCTATGCGGTTTCTCTTTTTTCGAGCCATCTAGTGAATCCGGTGTGATGACTGTGCAATCTACTTTGAAGCCTATTAAAAAACCGGTACCCACTTTCTGGTCGGTACTTGGAGACATGCATGGTACCTCAAATGGTCAGCCTTGACCTGAAAGGGTCAGCCCAGCCGAGGCCTTTGCTGAGTCGGTGTCAGAGGATGAGGTCTATCGGCATTGTGCAGCCGATGCGGACCCTTGGACCGGTACCGCCCCGGTCGTGTTCACCGGGCGAAACGGAGAGGTTGGTTATTTCCAAGAAAGAGGGTGAATCGAAGGGATCCCCCTTATAAGGATTTAATATGGATTTATGTATAAGGTAATTAGGTGATTTAACCTATTGATCCATACTTGCTGTGTGTCTAACATGGAGGTCCATGTTGCACTTTGATGATGGAGGAAGGCTATGGCTATATCAAAGGCCCCAGAAATTATCATATCTTTCCTACCAAAGCTTTCTACCAAAGCTTCCTAACCAACGCTTCCTACCAAAGCTTCCTAGGAAAGTTTTCTACCAAAGCTTCCCAAAGCTGTCTACCAAAGTTTCCTATCCAACGCTTCCTACCAAAGCTTCCTAGAAAAGTTTTTACCAAAGCTTCCTAACCAAAGCTTGCTAGGAAAGCTTTCTACCAAAACTTACTAACCAAAGCTTTCTAACCGAAGCTTCTTAACCAAAGCTTTCTACCAAAGCTTCCTACAAAAGCTTCCTACCAAAGCTTCCTAGGAAAGCTTTCTACCAAAGCTTCCTACCAAAGCTTCCTAACCAAAGCTTCCTACCGAAGCTTCCTAGGAAAGCTGTCTACCAATGCTTCCTACCAAAGCTTTCTACAAATGCGTCCTAACCAAAGCTTCCTAGGAAAGCTTTCTACCAAAGCTTCTTAACCAAAGCTTCCTGGGAAAGCTTTCTACATCGGAGGTTGTTGATGTATCTTCACTGCGCAATCGCCCCACCCGGGCACGCACACCCGATGCCCCCAAGTGCCAAGAACACTTGGGAAGTGTCTTGGTGAAATTCGATGGCGAGAAGACGCTCGTGGATGTCACACACGGCATGAAAGCCCACATGGTGCTCGAGATGGCTTATGCGCGCATGGCATCATACCAGGCCATTTTTACCAACTTGAACGTGGTCTTGAAGTATGCTGCGTCTGGACGCATCGTGAGATGATGTACGCCCCTGGCTGGCGCAAGTGGTACCGCGAGTTCAATTGAGTTCGGCTCATTGCGCTGCAAAGCCCATGTGCTCCCTGCGTACCGTGTTTTGGAGACGCGTCAGCATGTGTTTGGCAAGGCAAACGTGTGCAGTCTTGTGCCGATCATTCTTCAGGCCTACGTTGCAGAAGTCCGTGAAGAATCGGGAAGTGCCATTCCCGTCAAGACGAAGCTGCCGATTCATCCATGTGCATGTGTGCGCCATCGCACATGGTCAGGGTGCAACCACGCATTGATGTTACGATCTGGCGAAGATGCAGTGTCGGTGAGAATTTTTATTGAAGATGGGTGAAGAGCGCCACGCATTTTTTGGTTCACGATGTCATTACCGCAGAGCCATTCCGCACATACTTCGCGTAAGATGATTGGGGTTGACTAAAGCTTGTTTCGGCTCAGGTTGTGGTCATGGCGATGATGATGTGGATTGGGCTTCTTCTCCAGGCAGTTCTTGGCACACGTAGGAAAAGTTTGATTATTTGTTTGAGGCATTTCTGGCTTATACTTGTACTGTATACTGTTCAAACTTGTTTTTCGTGGATGATGAATAGGAATGGTTGCCACGCGATCCAGTCCCGTGTGACTTCGCTTACACTTTCGTGATTTGTCTTGCTCTCTATTGATAGTCTTGGTCGCGCCCTTTTGAATTTTGCATGTTTTTTGCTGTTTTGCGATCGCTCTTTGGTGGTGCTGGGCGAACGGAGGGTCCCTCCAAGAAAGATTGTGATTCGATCGGATCCCCTTATAAGGATTCATATCGATTTATTAATTTATAAGGTAATTAGGTGATTTAACCTATTGATCTATCCTTGCTATGTGTCTAACATGGAGGTTCATGTGTCACTTTGATGGTTGAGGAAGGCTATGGCTATATCAAAGGACCCATAAATGATATATTTACCAGGCTACCGCCTGCAGCCGCCGACCCCCAAGGGATAGAACCTTAGCTCTAGCCTTGCTCTATGTTAGCCTTAGCCTTAAGCCTTAGCCTTAGCCTTAAGAGTGCAGACCCAACCCAGCACCACCAAAGCAGGTACCCAAAAAGTCGACTTTTTGGGTACCTCCCAGATTTACCATCGGACGTCAGCTCTTGCATGAACCCCGATCATTGCCCAAGAATTTAGACCCAACCCTTCACCACCAAAGCAGGTACCCAAAAAGTCGACTTTTTGGGTACCTCCCAGGTTTACCAATTTAGACCCAACCCAGCACCACCAAAGCAGGTACCCAAAAAGACAAAGCCTAGAGCATTCCTAGGAAAATGCCAGAAAAGCCTTTGAAAATCTCATAAACCAACAGAAAACGTGACAAAATCTACGAAAAAGCAAGGGCATTGGCCGGGACCATGCGCGACCAGCCCGGGATTCGAGCCCAGGACCATTTTGGACCGTGCTTATTTTCCCGCGCGGGTCGAGAGGGTGCCCCAAGATGTAAATCAATTGGGATGGCAGAATCTTGGACAATCCAGGTCACCATCCGGTCGCTTTTAGGGCAGGATTTCGTCACTGCAACAAGGGTCCGGAGGGGTAGGGGAGGTAAGGTCTAGGTCTAAGGCTAAGGACTAGGTCTGAGGCTAAGGATAAGGCCTAAGGCTAAGGCTAAGGCTAAGGCTTAAGGCTAAGGCTAACATCGACAGTCACGCCTCACCCCACGGTGTGGGGTCGGCGGATTTATTTTTCAGGTGTCATTGGAGCTGCCCCTCTCAACCATTTTTGATGATTCGCTCCTCAAAGTCACATGAACATTCATCAACGCCCGACTTTCAGTGGACAGAAACCACTTGTTCCTACCCAGGACAAGTGGATAACCTGCCAACCTGCCCAACTCAAAACAAGCAGACAGAAAGTGTGCTCCACCTTTTGCCCTCCAAGGGAAACAGCTCCAACGGCAAGTCCAGATCCAACGACCCGCGACCATCGGACGGACCAAGCGACAACCGTTTCTGAGGTCCAACACATGTTGGCTGGAAAGGTGGCCACAGTCTTCATGCCTCTGGGACATGTGCGAGTGATAGGATGGTCGACTTGTTTGGAACAGTAGGGGTTCATTGAACCAATTAGAACAGGTGGGTTGCAGTCAATAAAAGCAATTGGTGTACAGAGTAGTATGTCTTGTCACGGACGCATCATCAAAATGGAGCAAATGTACTCCCAAGTACGCGCTAAAGCTAAAGTTGTTGCGATTCCCCCCCTGTCAGGTGAGTGTTCCCCGCCGGACCTCAACCGCCAGCTCGGGACAGCAGTGTTCCCCGCCGGGCCTCAACCGCAAGTCAGAAGACATGCCAGATAGAACGCCAGAAAGAATGTCAGAAGATATGCCAGAAAGAATGTCAGAAAATGTCAAAAACCAGAAGGAATTTCAGAAAGAGTGTCGGAAGATATGCCAGAATGAATGTCAGAAGGACCTCAACAGCCAGCTCCGGACGGCAGTGTTCCAGAAGATATGCCAGAAAGAATGTCAGAATATATGCAAGAAAGACAGTCAGAAGATATCCCAGAAAGAATGCCAAAAGACATGCCAGAAAGATTTTGTGCCGAATATCATCTGTAGAGTCTGGGAGCTTGTGCTCAGAATGACCCTCAGAGTTTATAGACAGTTTTCTTGTAGAATCAAATATCAACCTACCTCATGGGGTTCAAAAAAGTCAGTTTGTCCTCTCAAAATGGGCGCCGACATTTGATTCTATACACAGAGCAGGCCATGTCACCAGATTCTATAGAGGTCCTTACATTTGATTCTCTGGAGTTCGCCGAAGGTTGAGAATTGATTTTAGAGTGGATGGTGTGTTGTGAGGCCAGGCAGGTCAACATTTTTCTAAACCTTCATATGTCCCTACACGTCTCTATAGAATCAAAAACCACCTTGGCTATGCATCATTGCTTTTCCAAGTTTTTGTCAGATGTTTTCATGATGCTGAACGCCCATGCCCTGATGCATTTGATTCCATAGATAACATGTTTCCAGCACTGCAGGAGGTTGATACGTGATTCTATAGCGGTGCAAACCGCCCTCGGAGCCTGGCTTTTCGTTTTATCACTATAAAATCAAGTCCCAAGGTACACCGGTAATTCCACAGGGGCTCCAGAAAAAATGTCAGAAGATATGCCAGGAAAAAATCAGAAGTATGTCAGAATGTCAGAAGGTACGCCAGAAAGAATGTCGAAATCATGTTTCAATACATGCCGAAAAAATTGTCAGATTCAAACGTCATGGTGCGGATCACTCGAAGTGAAGTAATATCATGTCAGTGTCCCCATGCAGTTTTGTGTTTGCAGTGGAGGTGTTCGTTGTTTGGTCATTAATGTGTCGGGCACATTGTTTATGTGTCACTTCTTGGCGAGGAGGGACATGTTGCAGACTTGGAAGATCCAGTTATTGGGTAACAACCACCTGCCGAACCCGAACTTATACCCTGAGCGCAGTCACTCCTCAAGTGACCCCGTTTCAAAATTTTATCATTTGATTCGGTCAGTCCATGCTATGTATGGAATACTATATATATATACATTGACCCCTGAAATCAAAAACCAAAATATAGTTGCCAGCCCGGATCCAAGATCAGGCTGGCCGTCTGGCCGAGGGAAGATCAAGTGATTTTTTCCCACACCAACCATGTACCAGGACCCTTGGTTGGGACCCGACCACAGGTGGTTTCTGGGCACCGAACTTATCACCGCGAAGCACCTGATGGAAGATCCAGGTGGATGCATACACGGATGGGTCATTTTCACTGGGTCAATGTATGCATGTAACACTTTCTCTCCCATGGATGGTCTGTAGGGTGTACACTAACGGGACCCACTGATCGGGGTGGTGAAGGGACACCCCTTTACCGACCTCTAAAGAGGGGCCATCAACAACCACTCCGAGGTATTAAAGTCTTTGGTCGGGGTCTTTAAAACCTTTGGAATTTGGAGTGCCACCCTTACATCCCCTTGACGCCTCGATCCGAAGTCCAAAACCCTTCCGATCTATCCGATCTCAGCGGAGTCTTCGATACCACGCACGCTGCAGGTTTGGTCAAACTGGGAGCGGTAAGACGCACACCATGAGCGGCCTGTTCCGCCGGGCGGCGCAGCACATCTTTCGGTCTGAATCCTCGGTGACGTTGACGGCCTTCGAGATCGCTGGGAAGGCCAGGGCCACGCTACCGAAACGGATTCAAATTCAACATGATTCTTTCGGAAGTGTGCATGTCAGTGCATGTGGCATGTTGTGTGTGGGTGTCCCTGTCTCAATAAGGCTCATGCAGGGGCGTGTGGCACTCTCCCTACCACACGCAACGAAGCTGTGGGCGAGAGTGGGAAGCAGGGCCTGATCAGCCCTGTGTACCTGCGAATGAAAAAACACTACTCTTCCTGCGCCGTTTTTTGTTTCCATGGTTCTTGCATGATATTCCCCCAAACCTATTTCCAGCGGATTTGCAGCAGCCTGGCCCCTCATTCCTTGCACTGTTGATTATCACTTGAATGAACCTATCGAAGTGTGCGCGTGTGTGTGTGTGTTGCGTTTGATGTGTTGCGTTTGACTTGGGTGGAAAGACGCAGTTCCCAAGTTTCAAACCCACGTCCAGATGAAACGCATCTAAGAGTCTAGATTCCAGACATTGGTTGACTCATGTTGATTCAGCGATCGCTTTTGGAGTTTTTTTGCATCCAAGTGGTCCTCATTGCGAGACTTCACATTTATTGGAGCCCCCCCGTGCAGGCAGTTCAGAACCCAACCCAACTTGAGGCTTTGTGTTTTGACGTGCGAAGGTGGGGGACTAACCCATGTTTTGACACCCGAAGCACCTTCTGAGATGCTGGGAGACAAATCGCTAGGGCAGCCTGTACCACAGCCTGAGTGAGTCAGACTCGGCACTATGGTTTCAGAGTTTGCAGTGACGAAAACGTCACCCTTGGCTACCCGCTTCAATTAAAGACCCAACAATGTTTCTGAAGGACTAATTATTATACAGTATAATTAGGACGGATTAGGGGTCGTTTCATTGTGGGCTCATGTTTGTTGAACAAAACGAGATGCACATGTTTCACTGGCCTCTCTTGCACTATCTTGGTTCGGCGCACGCTCGGCGCACGCTCTCCACCCAGCAGTGCAGTACACCAGCAAAGGCAAAGGTTCAAGAACCCTATAGACTCTCCTTTGAAGGGTTTTCCAAGGAAGAACCCAATACTACCGGACCCTTTGAAGAACCCTATAGACTATCCTTTGAGTACTCCAGTTTTGGTCCTTTCTATAGGTCACTGAACCGAGCTCCGCCCACACCAGGTGATGCGCGACCTGTTGGATCAGAGTTCCAAGGAGTTGAAGATCCGAGAGGCGCGGCGCAAGCGCGGCGCGGCTCGCGGCGCGGCGCAAGCGGCTCCCCACACGGTCACCCCTACGCGGTTGAGCTGCGCGCGGTTTTTGGGACGGGACAGATGGATCTGGGGAAGTTGGGAGCCCATGTGGTGTAGATGGGCAAATGGAAAGGGAACATTGGTTGAGGACAACTACGACATGCCTGGATCTTGGAAACGGCATACACAATTGCCTGGGGCCTTTTCAATGAAATGCCCTTACGGCGTTTGATCAAGAAAAACAGTGTTTTTTGTTGCGAACTGGCGGAGTCGAAACCAAATAGAACCGTTTTAAAGTGTTCAACGGCGTCTTTAGGCGTCCAAACGACGTCTCTCCCCATCCATATGGATTTTGAGCACATGCATGTTTGCGACCCCTAAAACAGGTAAGTTGTTCTTTGATTATGGTGTTTTTTCACTGAATAACCAATCCGGCAAACAGTTTTGTTGTTTGAAGATCCAGGTACAACGGCATGAACGGATGGTGGGCATTGAAGAAAGAGCTCTGGGATGATTGGACAATCAACAAAGTTCCTCCGTGTCATGAGGGTCTTCTTGATCAATGACACTCCCCATGTTAGAATCCAAGAAATCTTCAGGGAGACTCGAGACGGATCCCTTTCCACATGAAAGGGTGAAAGGTCCCATGGTCTGTTGATGTTGGTTCGTTTCGCCAAGTCATTCCAGATCATTCCAGCGGTTCCAAAAGGGTGCCGAACGAACGGAGGAAGTCGGGGCGCCCAGCTACTCCACTCGCTGGATGGGACAAAAGCATCCCTTTGGAACTGTTTTCTTTGTCAACGACAGATCATGGAGACAAGCGATAGGGAACACAGCACGGCAGCCACAGGAACATCCACCACAAGGAGACAAGTAGGGGGACAAGCGACAGGGAGACTATGGAGACAAGTAGCAGCGACAAGTTTTGGCAGGCAATCATTCACCCGCCCATTAATTGAGAAGTAAGAAAAACTGCTGCTGTCGCTCTTTGACTTACAATTATATAACACATATTGCTTGAGTGATGTGCGACGTGGTTGTGGGAAGTTGTGGGCGAGGATTCCCTAGGTCAAGAACATGTCAAATATGATTAAACTTAATGCATCTTAGTGCAATAATAGTACCTGTAATTGATAAATGCACGTTGTTGTCGTGGGTTGCATGAAGATTCACTGGTGGCTTCGGCCTGGCTTTTGGAGCATCAGTGATTGCATGGGTGAGAGGGTTGCAAAATAGAATGCTGGCATTTGGCATTCTGATATCTATGTTTTTTGCGCATGGGCATGCCTAATTTCCGACCTCGCTACGAATCTGATCACAAACACACTACTTGAAGGTCTGCGAAGGTCCACGAAACCTTCGCGCCAGGATAAGAGTGGCAAGACACAAATCCTTGGACTGCAAGGGTCAGATGCTTGCCACACAGCGCGTTTTGGGCTACGCGTCTTCCGTTCTTCTCGTCGGTCTTCCGCGCGGTTCCTGCGTCGGAACCGCGTTTCGTTTGCGTCACAAACTGTTCGGTTTCGTGCCCCAGGAAGACATTCCACTGCCCCGTCTCCCGGTTCGAATCCGATGCTTCCGCCGAGCGGTGAGGGTCGCCGGATCGATCCTGCAGGGTAGAAGTCGAAGGACTCACCGGACGGAGCGTGGAGGTGAAGAAAAAGGACATGTCCAGGAGTCACACGGAGTTGGATGATTTGAGTCTCCCTAGGGCTCCAACCATATCCTCAGAAGGTGGTTAGACTCCCCTGGCACCAACCATCTTTTGAGGAGGAGCCCTAGGGTCTATCAGTGAGTGGATGCGATGTGATGTGACAGGGGAACCCCTATTCTCCAAATTTGGCACCCCTTTGATGTGATTTCTGGGTTGATCACTTCCCCAAAGATGGATCCTTTGATCCGTAGCCATTTTGGCTCAAGGAAGGTTACGCTGGATCTGGCCTGTATTGGATCCGCCCGCAGGACCATGGCTAGTCTCTGGTTCATCGTCTGTCTCACCCGACTGCTATCGGGGTTCACGGCCGTTGTTCTGGACACTAATGCCACGGTCACTGACGGGCTTGTAGAGGCCTTCAGGTTGGAGCCAGCTCGCCAAGAAGCTGTCAAGAGTACTGCATGTGTAAACACTCTTGAACGATTACGAGGTATGGCCACGGAATTGGCGAAACACACGAAGTGTGAAAGGGACAGGGACGTGAAATTGCGTGAGCGCCAGAACTACGAATCAGCCATCAGATCGTGGCAGGATGATGTGGCTACTGCGGTAAGCATGAAGACGACGCTCATTGCAGCAATGGAAAGTGATCTAGTCTCTTTTGAAACCGCCAGAAACACAATTCAAAGCCAGCTTCCAGTGGTCCAAGCTGACAAGACGGCAGCAGAAAATCAGGTGACTACGCTGCAATCCCAGTTGACTGCGCTGGGTGCAAAACCATACCAGCCACAGGTATGCCTTGTTTCGCCGGGTCCGTCACTAAGCCGCAATGTCTTGTATGAGGTTGACGGCTGGGAACTGATTTCTGATCAGCCTGTGCAAGATCCCTGTGCGCAGGCCATCAATTCGTCATTGGCGTGTTGCTCCTGTTCTCCAACAGGAGGCTGTGCGTTCTCTTCTGATCCAGCTTGCATGACTGCCTATCAAAACGTCCAAGCAGGCTGCGTTGCAGATACCCAAGTGGTTCTAGGAATGCGTACAGCAAGTCAGGCGCAGCTGACAACGGATCTTGCTAATGCCCAAGCCGCCGTGACGCTCAAAGAGCACGAGTTAAAGACGTTGCAAATGAAGACAAACAGTGGGAGACAAGAATCGCGCAACAACGAACTCTTGTGGCCAACGAGCGTGCCAAGCCGGCGGTCATGCCACAGCGGCCGGACATGAAATCACCGGTCATTCCGACATGTACAGCTCCGACATTCGCAGCGTTGCCTCTGGAGCCATACAAACTTCAGATGCATTCTTCATTGAAGGCTGGATCGAAATTGAAGATCACCTTTGAAGGGGAACGAAACTGATGTGCTAGGTTGTATGGACATTTTCAAACCAGGGGTCAAACTTGGAAAAATGATGAAAAATGAAAAGGGGCTCTCTACCGTCTACCCTGGTTGTTGCAACGTATACAAGTGAAGAAGACTTGTTGCGCAACGCAGGTGCGGTTTACGGCGCTTACGCGGTTTACATGGAAGAAAATATAGAGCTCCGGACCTTGGATCCTGCAGGAGAAGAAGTTGAAGGATCCTTCATAATTCTTGAGCCCGACGCTGTACCCACGTATGTGGCAATGGCCCTTTCAGTGCCAGCTGACAGCTGTGTTGAAGCGGAAGCCAGGATTGCCTCAGGGCGTTTTGACTTCATCGTCCCAGGCTCGTCGGGACCATTACATGGCATTTCTCTCACCTGTGATGGGCTGTCGGTTGATGAGTCAGGTGGCGTTGTTTCACTTCCGGTCGAATGGCAGGCGTTGATTCCTGCCGATCGACCGCGAGCCGCCCCTTTCATCACGTGGCGAACATCAGACACCAGGGTCAAGACAAATACAGTGTACAGTTTTGACACCACACTCCCAAGACATGCTGCGGTCTACGAAATGCAGCTCAACGGACCCGGTGCAAAGGCCGTGTTTGGTGAGAGGGAGAGGGCTGTTTGCTATGCAGTGGTCCTCATACAGGTTGAAGGAGTCCGCTGCTATGCACCATGCTCCCAAAGGCCTGAAGATGAGGCACAGGTATATTTTCACAGACTCAGGGATTCCGTACCTTGACATTTCTGAGCTGCCTCAGTTGGCGTGGAAACGGAAATTTCCTGCTGTCAGCCAAATGGTATGTGCAACAGAGGAGTTGGAGGAGCAGATGCGCAGCTCAGATAGATGCTTGGCAAAGCAGACAATGAACGTCCCGTGGTCTGAGTCTCTGTCTGCCATGGGAATAGTGGATGAGTCTACCTTCATTTTGGCAGTGGATGAACTGGGTTTGCTGGACCGCGACTGGAAGAGGGTCCTGCAGAAAGTTTCTGTTCCGGTTCTTTACTTGTTGACGCTGTTCACTCCTTATTTCGTTTCAATTTCTTTTCCAAGATTTGGCCCCCGTCTGGTTGTGTTCGTGGCCGGCTTTCTTGTTTGGGCGTTTTCAAGGTATGTTGGCCTGACTCTTACAGGATGGGGTGCCTTTTATCGCTTGATCTTTTTGATCTATTCTTTGGTCACAGCGTCTGCAGAGTTACCTTCATCCCCAGTGGAGCTTGCCGCTTGCTTGCTTGGCATTGGCGCGAGGGGAGCGGCTTTGATTGCAGTGACAGGCTGGGGTGTGGTTGCTTTTTGAGGTGATGTCGTCCATTTTGCTTGCTCTGGGTGCTGCATTTGCAACGAAGGGTGCATTGGCAGCGCGCATCCTTCTGGTCTTGCACAGTACGACAGGCAATCCGGCGATGAAAGGTTTGTCCAGTATGAAGACTCCCCTGCGCATCACGGTGTTTGGAGATCAGGACCTGAGTTCTTGGGCGCTTCTTGTCAAGCTGATCACTGGAGTGGAAGTTAAAGCCCAAGTTGGACGGTGGACGCTTGGGATGGCAATTGTTTTGGGCCTCTTGGCGAGGTATGCTGCGCTTCTCACAATGCTGCTTTCTTTGCTTCGGCTACCCCGTTCAAAATCACCCAGCATGGCATTGAACGAGAGGGAGTGTACGCTCTCTTCTCTTCTGTCAGGCTTGGTTCTTCTCGTGACGTTTTGGTCCTTGTCCTTTCGCTGGTTCGCAACCGTGTTGCTTTAGTCATTGCCTTGGTTGCGTACTTCTCTTTTGGTGAACATTCAGGCACATATCTGGCGGAGGCTGTCGCCCAGAGTGTGGTAGACCGGGTAGCAACGGCCGTTGCGGAAGGTGCTCATTGTTACCAGACTTCCGAACAGCAAGTGGAGCAAAGAGAAGGGCTTGACAGATTGGTCTCGTGGTTTGCGTCAAAAGCTCCCTTACAGGCAAAGGTTCTCCAAGGAATGCGGGACATGAATTGGACAGACCAAGCCAAAGCGACTTTTGTACAGTGCCTGCGGACAGAGCCAACTTTCACTCCTATTGTGGAGAGGTTTCTGCAGACCTTGGTTCCCCAGGTTTCTGCAAGGTTCAAGGAGCCACTGGCCGTGCTGTCAAAGCTTTGGCTCAGTTGGTGGTCTCGGGCCAAGGGTTTCAGTGTGGGCTGTGGTCATTTGACCAGTCAAGGCTTGATGATCCCAGTCCGTGTTTTTACAGGTCCAAAGAACGAACTGGGCGCATTGACAAAGAAGGAGCGCTTTCAGGTTTTGGTTGCCGGTGGAGGAAGGGTCCACATGTACGAGTTTGAGGTTTTGCGTCTTCCAAAGCCTGCACAGTTTCGAGGACTTACAGATGCTGTTGCCTTCGCTGCTCACGAAAAGGATGCTACGGTTTCTACAGGTGTGAGCCATCTCGTGAAGCCCCAGCAGACTGTAGGTCTCGCTTCAAAGATTGTGTCTGCGCAGGCTCGCATCGAGGTGGTCACTGAGGACACAGTGCTTTTCAGTCATGGAGAACCGACAGCGTCTCTGGAAGGAAATTCAGGAGCGTCCGGCATGCTGATGTCAGAAAGTGGATCCAAGTCAGGTGAAGCCTCCGAAGTAGCTGCAGCAACGGTTCATATTGGTGTCTCAGGGGACAGAGGCCTAGGCGGGACTTTGAAAAATGGCACTGCGGCTCATCTTCTCATGTCAGAGGGAAAGGCGGTTTCCTGCTCATCTTCTTGGGGTACATCGCCTACCCACGGTTCAGCTTCAGCCGCCTGCTCAGTGGGACACTGCACATTGGCAGCGAGTTCAGGCGGAGGCCCTCCAGGATTGGAAGAGTCGTTGGAGTGCATTGGATCTGCCGGACACACTTCCCCCTGAGTGGTATGAGAAGTGTGAAGATCAACTTGACCGAGTTACCTCGTGCTGGTTGCACTTGCCGGAAGCACAACGCTTTGACATCGGTGATGCCTGGCTGATTGTCCTCTCCAATTTGGAAACTCGCTATGGGACGACCGGCGGCCATACCTCCTGGGCCATGGCAAGTTGGGCTGACGGTCGTCTTGGTGACCACTTCATCAACTAACTACGATGACGTCGAGGCGATTCAGCACGTCAACAAGGAGGTGGACGACCTCCTCCGTGACATGCCGGTCTATGCCCTCATGCATGAGTACGACCGCATCTTGAGGAGACAACCGCCCCAACCGCCTCCACCTCCAATCAGTCAACCAAGAGTGTACCATCAGCTGTCTATGCCCCAACTGGATGGCTACTTCTACACTCAGGAGACGCTGCTGCGCCCCTTTGCCTCTCCGGTGCAACACATTCCGGACCTGCCACTCATGCCGGTGGTGGTTGGCTCCAAGGGTGAGAAGATGGTTTTTGTGCTTCATTTCTTTTCTGGCCGCCTCGTCGTGGTCCTGTTGGAGATTGGGGGTCACTGGAGCACGGAAGCAGCCACCCCTCTTCGTTTGTTATCCGCCGCCGAGAAGGAGACTGCCACACCTTCTTCCAGCGAGAAGTCCTGCCACCTGGATATCGCTTCGTGCTTTTGTCCCTGGACACGCCGGTGGACGACCACTATGGCAACTTGGATGGCAGCAATTGGCGCATTGTTCTAGAGTTCTTGCGCCTTGGAGTGACAGCACTTGGACTGACAGGTCCACCATGTGAAACTTTCTCTGCTGCCCGCTACTTGCCTCCACCGGATGGCATGCGGAGACCACCCCGGCCGCTTCGGTCGGCAAAAGCACTGTGGGGCATCCCGGACCGCATCGCTCGAGAGCTTCGCCAGCTTGCAATGGGTACGCGCCTGTTGATGCATTCCCAACAAGCGGAGACTATGATTTGCTTGAACGGTGGCATGAGTGCCATGGAGCGCCCCAAGAGCCGGCGGCGTGAAGATTGCCCGGATGATGCGATCTTGCCCTCCTCCTGGGATGCCTACACCCAAGTGCACTTCCTGTCGCACATCCCGCTGTGCCGCTTTCATCAGGTGGAACAATGGAAGTATGGGGCAGACTCGGTCAAACCGACCACCTTTCGCACCATTGGCATGCGGAACTTTGCAGCCAATTTGGCGAAACATGCCGACCCCCATGCAGTCCGACCTCAGATGGTGCTCCAGGGCTTGAATGACAAAGGTGCCTGGAAGACGGCCCACGCCAAGGAGTACCCTCACCTCCTATGCCAAGCGCTGGCATCGGCGGCAGCGGTGTGTTTTGGAGAGCCAACTGCCTGCTCACCTTTTGAGTTGGGTTCACAATTCACAAGCTGGAGCATAGAAGCTCGCTGGTCCAACTCGGTGTTCACCGCCCGGATTTCCAAGGCTGGGCGGAGTAGACCAGGTGGCTCGAATTCGAAGCCAGATGGGCACAAGCGCCCGCTTGAACGCCATGAAAGAAAGAAAAGTAGAACAAAAACAGGGCTACTGGCTACTGACTGGCGCCAGACCGTAGGGCTAGACCGTTTTCAGCTTCAAACGTTTTGTTTCGGATCGCTCGTTTAGAGGGGAAACCGTTGAGAAAGGTGATTGGCTTCAAACATCCAAAGCTAGAAGCTACTAGTAACAAGTGCATCGCTATTAGGAACAGGTAGCAAAAAATAGCCGTATACTACTACTTGTAGTATAGCTACAAGTAGAAGCTACTAGCAACAAGGGTGTCTATACAACATCCCACCGCCAAGAACCGAAGCGTCCGAGACTTCGTGAGACTCCTTCGGTGGCGGGTATTGAGCGCCAGCGCCGGGTGCTGGTAGAGGAATGGGGAGATTGGTGGTTCATCCTGGAACCCCAAACAGCCCGAAACAAATGGTTGTTCCAATAATTTCCAATATGGCAATTGACATATATTGAAATCCTTTGACATATAGGAAATGGCTGGGACCGGGGAAACATCCATGTCTTTCTGGTTTGGGGTTGCAAGATACTCTCAGTACTGAGGACATTTCATCGCCTGATGCGCTGCTGAGTGGTTTGACCCAAGCGCAAGGCGGTCGGGCCACTCGCGCAACACAGGTGAACGAGAGCCTTGGATATGACGTCGGGGGGGCATCTAGCGACTGGGCCCAAGGGGTTTTAGTCTATTTTCCTTCTTCCAGGGGGTCTTTAGACGGTCTCCCTACCTTAACAATGCACACCCATATATAGAATTTCTGATCTTCAAATTTTGCACTCTACTATATATATATATATATCGTGGTTCGGAACTTGAATCCAGGATGCAGATCTACAGGATACACAATCTATATAGAGGAGACATTCGACCAACCCTGGGGTATTGACAAGTGGAAAGTCATTCAGTGCCAAACTCGACAGACCCGAACCATGTGCCGAACATAGCGTGATTCGCACACTGGTTCCGTTCACTGACAAGTACTTCCCGATGACTGCCACTGGTACGGTGATGTGTTCGACACTCTTCTTATGTATACCAGCTGCTTCCAATGAGTCACCAATGCACAACCCTGCACTACTTATAGGTTTCCATTAAACACCCATTGGAAGTCCTAGGTAGGTGATTTACGTTTTTCCTACATTAGGCCATAAATTGGACACCAGGTAATCCATACATGGATCATTTGGGCAACGCAACAGGCAGGGCCCTGTTGGACGCATGGCATGCGCATCTCCCAATGAACCGTGTGCAGAACCAGTGAACCGCTGTGGTAGTTCAGGTTCATTACATGAAGAGACTAGTCGATTGAGGAAGACCAAGAATTATTAGTTTTCATCTTTGGGGTTCAGTATCAATCAGTTTCCAGGGCTCCAAGTGGTACTTGGAGCCCTAGGGAGTATATTGAATATATAGAATCTCTATAGCTGGTGCGAGCTGAAGCTCGGGTATCGCCAGCTGAACCCCCATGAGACTGGGAGCTGGAACTTGGAGCTACAGGCTGCGGGGTTCCCCTTGGCCCAAGCTCAGTCGCGGCTCAGTCAGACCTGGATCCCTTCACCCTCCACCGATCTCCACCGATCTCCACCGATCTCCACCGAGGACTTCGTCGCGCTCCCACGCGGTCTTTTGCATCACCAAAGGTGATGCCACCCTGACGTGTCCAGACCGAAGTCGACCGAGTCAGTCCACCGGGTTCGAGTTCACGGAGGGTCGATGCGTCGGTCAACAGGCGGTGGCGTCGATGGCGGTTCCAGGCGATCTCGTTTGAGGGCGGACCTGAAGCAGTGAAGATGACACAAAGAATGAAGCTCACGTGAGATGTTGCAAGTGTTTGATCCGTTTGGGCACACGGCTTCAGGGGTGCTTTGGTATTTGCTTGCAGTGTACGAACGAAGTCGTCCCGATCCGTCAGATCTATACCAGGACCTTCCAACACGTGGTTTTTGGGACACCCCTTAGCCATCCTTAACCTCTAAGAGGCTATTTATAGACACCTACTTGGAATATATTTCTCAGACCAAGACACTAGCAAGCAGTGTTTGTCTTCTGCACAGGGCTCTTGGGGTGGTACATGCTAAGACATCCATTTCTTGGGTCTGTTTGTCCTATTACCTGTAACAGTCAGTACACAAGTATGTCTATTTTGCAACGAGGCCTTTACTATACATACCACCATCATCCACTGTTACTGGTAATGGGCTAGACTCAATGCGTTTCTATTAGAGGCTCTTTCAGACACAACTGCAGCAACATGGGGTAGGGTCTTGACCGTGCAGATGTTTCTCCAGCATCGTCAGTCAACTTCGTAGAGTTTCCAGGAGCCAACCGAAACCATCAACATGTTCCAACCAAAAGGCTACAGGGTTGTCTAAGACCCAATTAAAAACACACGACAGCTTGTTGTTGATTCGGGATGTCTATTCATAGCCTCCAAACGATCAGATCAATTCCCAGGACCTTCCAATAGGATCCAAGTCCGGTGGTTTTTGGACACTCCGAATCACCTCTTTTTGAGGCTATTTATAGACACCAGGGATCCAAGTACCTTCCCAGAAGGTGATTGGAGACTATTTATGTAGGCTTCGAGGGCCCAAGTACCTTCTGAGAAGGTATGTGGATCCCTAGTAAGACACCAAGTATGGAGGTTCGGGTTCAGGACTTTCGGCACCCATGCCCTACCGTGGCACCGTGGTGCTCCCACGCCCAGGTTGGTGGATTGCGCGGGCAGCGAGCGAAGGGAAGATGCCACGCAGCACGATGCGCGGAGCCGCAAGGCCGGAAGATGCACACGATGTTCATCCGGCCAAGAGAGGTTAAGTGACCTGACAGACCCTGGGGCAGCCTGGGGCAGCCTGGGGTGCCTTGAAAGTGTAGACGTCATAGCCCTATGGACCCAAGTACTCTCTGAGAAGGTGTTTGGGGTGGGTGCCAGGAGGGTCCAGTCGTACCTTTTGAGGAGGTACGACTGGATCCCTAGGGATAGAGTCTAGAGGGTTCTTCAACCTCTGTTTGAACCGAACCATGTTTGAACCACCGGCAGCCCGACGAAGTCGCAGTGGACATGACCCGAACCAAACACCATACTTTCCTGGGGGCCCCCAGACTTGTGAGGTCACGAGTTCCAGGTCGACTCCGTCCTAATGCTTAAGTGGTCTGAAACGCTGGAGGCTCCACCAGAGCAAGTGAACAAACTATCTATCCGTTTGGACTCCAACCACCTCCATTTCCTCCGTTTCGGTTCGGTGGGTGGTTTAAGGGGGTCAGTTCCACCTTCGGATATGGGCCAGTAGCCCTAGGGCTAAGTCTCGACTCCTAGCTGGACTTGGTTACACTCGTCCTTGGTCCAAGGTCGAGTGCGGCGGACCTCTTTCGGTGCCTGTCAGACCCTCCAGAATCCCCAAGACAATTCAGCACATCAGGAAGAAAAGAGAGATGCACTACCACAAGTCACCAAGCTTGGGGTGGTGTTTCGTCCCATCCAGTGAGTGCATAATGGGCACCCCCTATCCTCCAGTTCGGCACGCAGACATGGAACTGCTGGTACAAGTTCCATGTTTTGCTTGTTTTGGGGGTTCTAAAACCTGAAATCTGCAGGATGCAGCTGGTCCCCCACCAGTGTGGCACATGCAGACCTGAAGCACAGAGAAGAATCTCTTATTCATTCTTTATTCCACTGTATATACCCATTAGGGCCACGGAGAATAATGCGAATAATGCGGTGATAGCTGGGGCCTACGAGTGGACGGGGATACCAGTTCTGTGCGTCTAGACTCCACGTGCGATGCTCCGGTGCTCCGTCAGGATGCCGCTGAAATCAACTCGACCATCTTCGCGCTCAAGGAATGCTTTCGTGTCATGCGATCCTCCAAAGGTGCGGGACGTTGGAGGGTGGGCAGGGACGGCGGAAGAGGGACGTTTTGTTCAAGGGGGAGGGGCCCCTTTGTGGGCAGATGGAAGAACTCCAGGATCTTTAAAGTGGATAAGCTTGAACTTGTTTGGGAATTGGCTAAAGTTCCTGGTAGCAATTGTCCAGGAGAACTGTGGGAGTCGGAACCAAACCCTTCAACCGTTTTGGACCAAAGATGGGCTTGTGAAGCTTGGCAGTTTCAGTGGTTGGGGTGTGGTGTTTGGCATGGTTTCATGGCAGCTTGCAAGGAATTGAATTGGGGCTCTTCCGGGCTGCAAGGATTAGGTCAGGCAGGTGAGTGAGCAGTTTCCTCCAACTAGTCTCCTCAGTGGATCTTGGTGCACTCAATAGTCGAAGTGTGCCCTCTTAGAGACTGGCAGAGGTTTCTTGGGCCGTGGCGTGTATCAATATATAAGATACCTGTAGAACCCATTTGACCTTTGTTTTGATAGACAAAGACCACGTTTTGGCTCCCAAACAGGGGTCCATCAGCGAAAAACAAGTGTACATGTATATCTATAGCTGGCTTCCGTGTCGGATCCTTTTTGTGTCAAAAACAAAAGGGATCGGTGTTGTTTCCGTTTTGGGGGCCTAGGCCGTCACGCCCACACCCCCACACCTCCGGCACGTCAGCGCCACCTAAGACCGCCACAGCGGTCTTGGCCGTCCGTCCGCAGCAGTAGGTACCAGTAAGTAGGTACCAGTAGGTACCTGGACTTCACATGGCCAGGTTAACCAAGTAAGTGAGGCCAGGTCACTGGTTAAGGCCCACCCTGTGAGGTATGAAGGAAATCAGAGTATGATTGACTCCAGGTAGTAGATAAGTGGGATCGTTGCATCCCTTCACCCTGCCTCTTTAGATGCTCATCGTATACATGCAGATCTCTGGGACCCAACAAGCCATTCTGGACCAGGTGAGACCCCTGGAGGAAAAGGCAAAGCCAGTGCTCTCTCGGCTCCAAACCAAGAAGTCGAAGCATCTCCAAGAATGGGAAGGTGTGCGATGAGAACCTCCACGGCATCCAGAGATCATTCTGGAGTATGAATCTTCAACACCAACTTTTTAAATGCAACCCTTTCAACCCCAAACCCTTCCCACACCACTTCAAAATATCAAGTTATAGACAGCCAACAAACCTCTTTGCTGCTCTCCAACACGCGAAACGGCCAGACAGCCACGCAGTCTCCGTCTCGTCCTACCGCTTCGCCTCCCGTCTCAGACGCCGCTCGCGAGGAGCTCGGCCTCCGCCTCGCTCGGCAGGTCAGCCGCCCTATCGGGAGAGCTTGTTGACTCGTGTGCTGGCCGACAGCTTCGGTAGTGCCGAAGCCTTGGTGGTGGCCATCGGCACAGTGAGTCCTGCGGCCAAGGACACGGAGCACTCCATTGGCACCACGGCATGTGACGCTTAGGGGGGGGCGTTCTCGGGCGCACTCTGCGCGCGTTCTCGGTCGTTCGAAGCGTTTGGTTTAGGGGGGTGTTCTTGGGGAAGTTTGAGGTGCTTCTTGGGGTGATCATGGACCAAACATATTCTTCATCATTTGTTGGGTGAGATTCTGGTGGATGGTCTGGTAATTGACGCATCTTGATGCTTCTACTGACGTTGTATGCAGCATTGCAATGTAACATTAGTTTAACATATTATAGTATCGTTTTGGCTTCAATGCAGACAATTAATATCAATTAATCAATCTTATGCCACCAGAAGGCCAAAGGCATGTGGCTTGAAAGACCATGCTGATCTCAAAGACGATGTTGTTGTACATGTATTCTCAATAATACCAGCCATGTGGGGATGAGTCACGACTTGGAGCCCAGTGAACCCTGTAGCTTGACCGACCAGTCTCGCTAGCGATCAACCGGTCGGTTTGACCTACAGCCATGTGGGTGTGTATTTGAAGAAGGGGTCCCCACCCTGGTCCTGACTGAGTGGTAGACTGGTCTATTCTCCGACCCTTCCAGGGGGGGTCGGAACGCCGGCGGTTCGGTCTAATGCACACCCCACGTGCCAAAAGAGCCGATCGAAGGAAGAATTCAAAGACGAGTTGAGTTGATGATGCACAACAGATATCAAAAGATGGTGTATACAACCCACAGGATCCCAGACAGCCATATACTGGAAGTATTTATATAACGAAGCAGAACTTCTATAGGTCATTCTAGGTCATTCTAGTTTGGTTATCACTGGTTACCAGCCATGATAGTAATTGCATGCCATGGCCCTAGACCTCCAACACCACTACCGTACAAAAATGGTTGACCTGGTCCACCTGGTTTCTGAAATTCGTGCAACATCCTTATTTAAATTAATAGTTCTTTGGGATGATCCGCCGAGATGAATGCTTGGAAGCACGTCCGGCGGACTACGCGGCGAGCGACTGAGGAACTCTCCGTGCACTTCAGCAGCTGCAAGGGACTCAAATGCTCTTTGATGAGCGGGAAGATGTCGGCAAGCCCAAAGCTGAGGTGGATGCTTGGCAGAAGTGAAGCAAACAGCGCAAACAGAAAGATCAAAAGTACATTCTATTCCGATCTATTTGCCTATAGACCTTCCAAAGTAAAATCATGTAAAACCTAAACCAACAACTCAGGCATACGACTGGAGGTCACAGGAAGGTCGACAATAGTTGGTGTTTTTCGAAGAAAGAACGCCGTCTCTTTCCATCGTTTCTCAGGAGAAGCCCAAGGAAAGCCATCCCAAGTCATGGTCCGAGACAGAGGCCGTTCCGTAGGGGCGGTTGAGTCCTACCGGGTCCGGGCGCGAAAGGAAGGCGTGACCCTTGGGGCGGTCAACCGCCGGGAACGGGACGCCAGAGGAATCCGAAGAAGGGAGGGAAACAGAAATCAGGAGGCACTGCCAATGCCAGCAGTCACAAAGTAAGTCGGGGTGCTGTCCGAAGTCGGGGGTGCCCCTGTCACATATATACAGCCCCTGGATGGGATGAGCCAAACCACCCCGTTGAAGGCGACTCCCAAGAGAGGGGACCATTCACCTTTTCCTTTTAGGGCCCGGAAAAGTCGGTACCCATGGGATAGTCGACATATAGAGTCTATACCAGGGGTCATAGGTGGTGCCTGGTGTTTGGTCCCAGCCAGGGGCTGTTGATGTGACAGGGGCACCCCGACTACCTCCGTTCGGAACCGGCACCCCGTCGAACGTGACTCCTGGCATAGGGTTCTTCAACCTTTGTTGGTGGAGGGGAGGTTGAACATGCTTTGAACATGTTTGAACTACCTGGACCCAACTTCAGGTATACTGTGGAGAGTAGGACATGACCCGAACAGAAAACAGGTACGGTTGGTTCCCATTGTTCGAGGTACGAACGTAGATTTTTACAGGGACCCGGATCAGACCGAGTCTGCGTCCGCTTCGCACTGCTTCGCTTCTCGCGCTTCTCGTGCGTGTTGACTTCATCGAGGTGCGGCAGTGGTTGGAAGAGGCTGCTGGTGGTCGTGCCAAACAATTTGCTGCCTGTGTCTCCAAGGGCACCGACGGCAAGAGCCTCGACCCTTCGGATATGGTCCCAACCAGGGGTGGTGTCCAGCTCTTCGATGAAGGAGTCTCTCTAGCTGGACCCGATGGACCAGTTAGCAGCAGAAGGAACATGAGACGTGGCCCAAACTCAGGCATGGCCCGACCATATACGACCAGGTACCAACCGGTCGCCTCCAGATGTGAAGAATCTTCGACCGTTTTCCATGTCCCACAGCCAACTACGGCCACCGACCAAAAACAGTCAAAAACATCCAAAATCCATCAAGCAAACCACCCATTAATATCATTGTTTTGCAACTCTGACTGTGATGATATTATAGAATATGTTGTTGATTTTGGTTGTGATACAAATTCTATAATTTGCCGGTACTATGTCCAGAAGTTGTTTGGAAATGATATATCATATGACACTCTGTGATAGACGGCGGAAGCATGCCGAAACAAATGCAATATTGAATCGAGACAATCAAAACAGCTACTCCAAAACTTGTCTATAAATACCCTCTTAGAGGTGTCCAAAAACCACCTAGTGGAAGGTCCTGGTACAAGGGACTCAAGAGAAGTATTGTTACCCATTTCTGGGGTGCCTCGATAGGCCCGTTGATGTGTCACACCAGGAGGCTTTGTGGAATCATAGATGGCCTTTTAGTATTGATTTAGTTGATTAATAGACCCTATGGATCCACGTACCTTCCGAGAACGTGATTGGAGACTATAAATTTGTATGCACCAGGAGGGGATAGTCATACCGAACCTGAGAAGGTGCCAGTGGATCCATATGGAGAGAGGATAGCCCTATATTCGTCGTGTGCAACCGGTACATCGTGGCATCGACCACCTCGTGACAAATTGGATCTGCCCAGCGAGCTTCGGCGCGCGGATAGCGCCGATCGCTCGCCGCCGAGGAATCTGCTCCGCTGGCCCAATGTGCGCTTTGTACAGCTCTGTGGCGGAGATGACGATCTTGGCAACAAGTTGTACCAGGCGCGTTGTTTTCATGTTTTCAACGAGCTTATTTTGGGGACGGGACGCCTAGAGCGGTCTGGCGATGCATCCAACTCGAGGCCTGAAAAACAGGTCCAGTGTGACATGTCGGTGAACCCGACTTGCTCCTGAAAACCTCATGGTTTGTATTGCTTTTGTATGATCAACCCCAAGTCGAATGAGGTCAGTGACCTCGTAGCGACAGCTTTTTTCCACCAAACAGAGGTCGTCACCCTCTGGAGTTGGCGAACTCGTTTGGAACTCGTTGGCACGGGCCGTACCTCAGGCGCCCAGATCAGGAACTGACCTCAAATGGAAACTGGAGTTGGTAAAAAAATTACGAACATGAGGCTTCAGGACCAAGTTTTGCTGGGTCAGACTGGGCTTCGAGGGCACTTGAAAACTGATCAGACTTACCAAAGCCCAAAGCTGGAGGAATTAGCATTAATATAAGCCTGTCAATGTTTATTTAGTATTAGTATTATATGGATATGTGATAACAACTGAAGGCAACTGAGCGGCCAAAGTGTCCTTCCATTGTCAACCTCTGACGTCCATGCTTCAGAAATCTGACAGCAGGAAAACAACAAATCTGACACCATGCACACGGAGTGTCCTGGTGCTTCATAGATGTTGCACACTTGTCACCAGGACAGTTGCATCTTCCAGGAGTCACGTTCGACGGGGTGCCGGTTCCGAACGGAGGTTAGGGATGCCCCTGTCACATCAACAGCCCCTGGCTGGGACCAAGCACCACCCCGACATGTGACCACTGGTTCTGATAATTTTTGAGATAGTTTGTCCTGGAGCCATGTCAGTTCTTCCGAGAAATGTTGAGATAATTTGAGATGTTTTTTTGCTGGGACAAGTAGTAGTGTTTCCTTTAGGTGTTACATTTAGCTAGAGATTCTTTGAGATATTTTGAGATGATTCGAAAACAAATGATATAATTTGAGATACAGTAATTCATTTGAGATCATTTGAGATCAATTGGTATGTTGTTTGATTTGGCACTCTTTGATTTGGCTCTTTTGGTGTTGCTTCTGGTGTTGTTGTCTTCATTTTGTCATGTGTTGTCTTGTTGTGATTTGTCTTCAGTTGTCTCCTTCTACTTGCACTTATTTTTGAATTGGTTTCCTCATTTGTTTCCATCTAATCCCGAGTACCTATTTAAAAAGCCTCCTTTCAAACCGCTACTAAACTACAAACATTGTCGATTTTAGGGGTCTTTTTTTGTGTGTTTTTAATTAGGTTCCAAAAACAACCGTAACTGCCCACCTCTGTCCACCCTGTTTATCCACCATGACACGCCGCTTTTACACCAGCAGGCTTTCCTTCCCCCAATGGCACGGACTCACGCAAAACCGCATGGCACAGCGACATCACCTTTCGAAAGCTTTAGTTGTTAGTCTAATGAAGAATCACTATTCTAACAAAAGTGTTTGTAGGGGAAAAGGAAGACCCTTCGATCTGGGATTTTATGTAAAACTTTTCTGGGTGACTTTTTGGTTTTGAAGCTCTTCCAAGGTGACACTATCTTGGACCACCCCGGTTTCAGGGACCCCCTATTAAAAATAAGCGACTGAGTTTTTCTTAATAGGGGGGCCGTGTTGTTTAATAGGTGGAAGGGATTAACATGTGATTTTTGTTTCGCACAAAATCACATATCAAATCTCGAGGGATCTCAAAGCCAATTCATTCCGCCCAATGCTGACGACGACCAAAACCCTTCCGGTTGAATACCCTTCCGTTTCAGGGGGCTGGATTATATACAAAAGCCCCTTTATTATTAGGTTTTTCCTTTCACCATTTTCTGATTTACGAGGTCCGGGTCGACTCCAGGTAGGGGTCGACTGAATCGCCGTCACTCCAGGTGGTGCTAGCTTGGAACCCCTTCTTCCCCGCTGGAAGAAACACGGGAGGACGGGGAAACGACGAGCGGAGCTTTGGCGCCAGGAACTTCGGGTGAAGATGCGCCTCTAAGGATCCTGCTGCCAGCAGGAGAATGGCCATGCTGGGCATGTGCGTGTGTGTTCTTTTTTAAATCCTCAGATCGGAGCTGTTTGGGACTGGCATTTTCACCAATCGATTGGGGCGGTTGAAAAGGGATCAATGTAGGTATGTTATACCAGCACCTTCCAAGTCATGTGTTTTTTGGACACCCCTTAATCCCAAATATGGAAGGTCCTGGGTACATTGTTGTTTGTGTTTCATGTTTGTTTTTGTTCGATCGGGTGATGTAGAGGTCATGTCCCACTTCCGGGGGGTAACAACCCTGCTTTTGACGAGGTTGCTTTTGCCCCGGGGACACCAAATCCAAGGTCCGGGAGCGTTCTGCACCGAAGAAATGTGTATTTCACAAGCACTTCATATATGTCCGAGGTGATCAGCTTCCTGTGATCAGACTTCGACGGAGTCATTGGGATGGGACGGATGGGAGCTTGTTGACCAGTCCATCGACAGTGTGAAAATCCCTATCGACAGACAGATCTTGGATGCAAAATGCTTGTGTAAAGGTCACGTAAAGGACCAGGTGCTCAGGTCTGGGAAGACTTGAAGGGCTGAATGAACTATTATATGTTTCTTTGCCTCAAATCTGTAGCCGTTTCAACAGAGTTTGGACCCAAAGCCTGGTGACATCTTGACATCTACAGTAGGAAACATGTGCTGCAAGGGTTCTTGCATGGCACATCTAGTCGCTGCGCTTCTTGCCTCGCCCCTTCTTGCCTCGCCCCATTCCACGAGTTGTTGCGCCTATTGCCTCACAGGAGCCCCTGGGAATTATCAGTTTGAGCCCTTGAGCGACTGCCGCGCTTCTTGCTTAAGGCTCGAACTTTGGAATTTCTGATCTTCCGGCCTAGAGGAGGTAATACCTCACCTTTTTAGTCTCTAGACTGGACTCTAGACTTTAGATTCTCGTGGTGGATTCGACACCGCATGTTGCTTTGCATGGGTTCCCACGCTTGTGAATACAAGCGTCACAAGGGGGGCACAACTCGCGTTTCTGGGGCAAAAGAGGTTTCGCGCAGGGTTTGGCCTGCACGAATCCGACTTCAGGTGCGCAGGCTGTATTGACTGTATAGTGCTTCACAGGTTCCGAGATGAACACCACCAAATTCTGCCTAGCCAACAACTCCCACTGCTGAATTGTAGCCTAGTCAGCATTTTGATTTGGTCAACGTGCTTGTGCGATGCTTGGTGGATTAGCAGATGTGAAACATGTGTTCTTGTACATTTCTCAGGTGCAAACCCTGGGAGGGTAGGACTCAGGCTTTAAAAGGCTTCGGAACAACTCAACGGGGGCAACTCTAGATTTGGGGAATCACCAAGAGATCAGGACAGCAGTGCCATTGTTTTTGTGTAATATATTGGCAATTGGGCCTGGTCTTGTTTCTTATTTGTTGTTTCCTTCCTTTCTTCTCTGCATGAGGTTACTGTAAATGTCTGGAGCACAAAGTGGCACAAAGACCCAAAAAAGGTTTTGACCAGTCGACCAGCCTTTTTGTTGGTGGAGGGAGAGCATGGCAGCATGGTCAGCGCAGAACAGCTGTTTGCAGCCTTTGAGTGAAGTTGAGCAGTTTGTAACTTAGACAGAGAACTATTACTGAAGAGATGGATATTGCACGGAATTGCTGAAGTGCTAGACAACCACAGGCATGCACGAAACTACTGAAGATCGACGACCACACAGAGATAGAAGATGAATCGTTGTTTGTATGCGGCTCATGTGCCGTTCAGGTGGTTTTTGACCTTGGTGCTATCAGTCCGTGGTTGTGAAGTGGTTTCCCTAAGCATGGAAAGAAATGGAAAGGAACAGGTCACTCCCGAAAACTAACATAGACCCTGAGAATGGTCCCATGGAAGACTATCTTCCTCTACACCCAGGGGTTTTCAGGTTCCATGTTAGTCTTCCAGGGTGTAAGACTACTATAGTGCTGCTAGTTCGTTGTGTTCTTCGGGCTTCTGCGGTCCGCATCCAGCACCTCGGACCGCGCGACCGCTTGGCGCCCACATGTCGTCCAGTGAGAGCTCGACTGGGAGCCGCAGCCGCAGCCGGTCGAGAGAAGAAGGGCCTCGTCTGGGCTCGTGCGTCGAAATCCACAGCTTGGAGATACTTGGCTGCCGTGGGCGATAGACGTTGGAGGTGCCGTGGGCGACCCAGGTCAAGTCTCCTGGCCCTGAGTCTAGCGGATTGATCAACTGATCAACTCCAGTAATTAAAATTCAGGTCAGCTCCTGACCTGTGACGTCAACTGTTCTAGGGCACAAAGGCATTCATGACCCACATAGAACGTAAACTCAACGCCGGCCCATTTTGTGAGGGGTTGTATACTTGGTCCGCGGCGCAGGCGAATTGTTTGAGCTTACGTAGTAGCCCTATAGTGTGCATCATGGAAGAGAGTAGAACAGAGTATACATGAGTACCCTAGGGATCCAAGTACCTTCTCAAAAGGTACAACTGGACCCTCCTGGCACCCACCCCAAACACCTTCTCAGAGGGTACTTGGATCCATAGGGGAGTATTAGCCGGTATAACAGACATATACACTCCGTGAGATCATCATGACGTGGAGGGACCGGCACACCCGGTGAAGGCCCGCCATTCCCGCTGACTTGCTGACGGTGGTGAATACTTGGGTCGTTGGTCATCAGACCAGGCGGTTCGGTGCCATCCACTGAAAACCATGATTCCAGTGCAGCAGCTGAGTCTTTTTTGCAAAGTTGACTGTTCCAGGCCTCTGCTCCTTCATTCTCTCCTTCTCTCCTTCGGAAGGGATGCTCACCTGTGGAGGTGATGGACCGACCCATTTGGGGCGAAGCTGCACATGTTGCTTACCCAGACATGTTCGTTTTACCGAAGCCAGATCCTCACTTGTCCTCTAACGGAGGACGGACCCTTTTGAGGGTGCCTTTAAGTACCCTTACCCAGACACTCCATGGGACTGCCATATATGCCGATCAGTTGGGGGTCAATGTAGGCATATATGGCAGTCCCATCAGTCGTGTCTGGGTTATGTTTTGTACCTCCGGATAGGATGTCCACCAGAGAAAGTCTCTCATCACCGCCTTCGCCCTTGCCCTTCGCCCTTCTTCGCCCCAGGTCGGCGGTGTCCCTGAACGGGCGCCGCGGCGTGGTCGTGGCCGAGACCCCCGGACGTTGGATCGTGCTGCTGGAGGCCCGCGCGGAGAGCTCGCGCACGAAAGAGACAGAAGAAGAGGGCCAAGTGCGGAAAGCAGTGCCCAAGGCGCGGTCATGATCGTGGACTCGGGAGATTTGTTCATGATCGCGGACGGTGGGTGGAGGACAGATTTTAAGGACAAGCGGTGCTTTTTGGAACTCCCGTACAACGACCCATTGATGATTCATCCATGGGAAATATTCCAGGCATGCATGGTTTGCTGTGGATCGGTTCACTGAAAGGTGTTTCGTGTTTACCGTGTTTGATGTGACTGGGTTCTTATTTTGGGCTGCAGAATACTTGTTGTATCCTTGCCGTGGGATGTCAAACCTTGTATTGTACTGGATGTAGCAAGCAGACAACAATCTATATAAGTCTGTGATATTTGCAACATGTACTCAAAGTACAGTTTATCATGTTTGATTTTCGGAAGTAGCACTGGGTTTACAAGTTTTTACCAGATGACATCCTTTTAAATGCAGGACAGTCTCTATGGGGCTGGACTTTAAGAGATGAACAACCCAAAGCAACCTATATATAGATCTAGACACCCTTTTGAACCTGTATGGATTCTCACATTCAATCGCACTTGAGATCACCTTATGAGATCTTATGAGGAGAAGTTGAAAATGCTGCAGCTTGGAAAAGAGGAGGCGAGCCTGCGCAGCCTGCTCTTCGCCACGAAAAAGCATTTCATCAAGACAATCGTTTCCTGCGTTTTCACGTCTCCGTTTCACGTCTCCACCAAAGACCTCCCATTGGGCACCAAAAACCTTTGGAGCATCAAAAACTGCCTCCATTGGGCGGGTTTGTTAGGATCATGGGAGCATGTCATGTACCAGCAGTTTCATGTCGGAGTAGTTTTTGTTTTTGTAAGTGAGTCGTTTTGTTGATGGGCACCCCGGGAATTCTGTCACCCCGATCTCCTCGTAGGCAAATATGACCCCTACTTGTAGCCTTCAGGTTGGTCATTGAAGAAATAATAGTTGAGCTGGTTTTTGCGGTTTTTGTAGGGTAAACTTCAGAGTAAAACAGCTGGTACGGCTAATTGGTAATGATAGTAAATAGCCATGGCACCATGTAAAATCAATTAAATCCAATCCAATGGTGGGCCCCAAATCCTAGGGTTACATTTTTGGGCGAAAGAACCAGGATCCTTGACGTCGATCGTGCCGCTCACGACGTGACACCAGATTTGGGAGGGCGCCGAGATCCGGGGAGGCGAAGGAAGTGTGGCAAATCCAAGAATCAATGCTCAAAGCAATCATCCGATTTCTACCGAACTACTACCCGTTTGGGCGGCCCATATCACGGCCCAGCTCAACTCAGGTTCGGTGGGAACCCCTCACGGATACCCACCTCAGGCGAAGACGGAGCCCTTGAAATCTATCCGAACGAAAACAACCACGGTCAGACGGTTTTTTCGATGTTGAAGCCACTCTGGCAGCTGTGGAGCTAGAAAGGTGCTGGTTTGGCATGGTTTGGCAGCTGGTTTGGAACGGCCAGCCGCTTTGGGTCCAAACAGCCAGCGGCCGCAGGTGCGCCTGCGCTTTCGCAACGTGCCAGCGGGGTACACGAGCGAGTTGATGCGTGAGGAGTTGGAGGAGTGTCCACAGCGACAGTTCCGTCGACCCGACGACTCGTTCGTAGTCGAAAACAGGTATATGCATATACCCTAGAAGTCCAGTTCGACTATATTTTGACCGGCTGAAGTAAAGGAAGTTCCCTTTCAGGTTCCCTAAAGACCATTCTTTTTATAGTCTTTGACTCCCAGGGTATATAGTATACCCATTCTTCTGAGGTACGAACTGAGACTCCAGTTAGCTGGAGTCTTAAAGTACCTCGGAAAATTGGTACACGCATGTAAAAGCACCCTTTTGTTGTTCGGGTCATGCCCTGTTTTCTAGGGTGCTTTGGAGGGTCCAGGTACTCTATAGTAGAGTCATAGAGTTGCTATAAGGTTATTTTTTGGGCCATTTGATTGGGGATGATAATCTACCCAGTCCAAGTGAGGGATAGGGATTTGGAGAGTTTTCTTTTGTGGCTTGGCTGGGTAGATTTTTGAGGGCTTCGTTGGACTAACAATTATCTTTGCCCGAGCAAGAATCCTGAGCTTGACTGTCCCTTCTTTAGTCTACTCTTGGCCCACATATATTGCCCCTTTGGCTTCTGAGGAAATCTCTTGGTTAAACACGGCCTGCTAATCTTGTGTCAAGCAGGCTTAAGCCGTACAGAAACTCATCCAGAACCGACCGAGCGGTGGTCGTTCCTGCATGGATCTTATTTGGGTGTTTGTACTGTAATGCAGTTCATGTGGTGTTGCTTCTTGGCAGTGACGTTACCGTTGTATGTGACAAAACATCTATCCCAGACACTCAATGTATGGGTAAGATGCAGTAAACAGTGTTGACACGGGTTTTGAACAAGGCCTTCAGGAACCATCATAATCCACTGTTACTGGTAATAGGATAGACCCCAAATATATGCCGCCCATATATAACAGTTGTCCCATTGCCATTGCTTGTAACAGTTTGCTTCAGAAAGCACTCTTCGTCCCGGTGAAGCAGGTCGGGACGCTGACCCTCCACCACGGAATTGCCTGCAGGGGGTCAACCAAAGGATAATCCATGGGTCCTCACAGGGGGTCCACTGCTGGATGGAGGGATGAGATTTTGGCAAGTTTACTAACCGTACTAACCATCATCATCCACAGATTACTGGTCATAAATAGCAAAGACCCAATGTTTCTATATACACATTGACTCGCCCAAGCCACCCCAATTGATCGATCCATGTGGCAGTCCCAAGCAGGTTTGTGTTTTTTTGCGTCATCCAAGCACCTCCTTTGTCGCTCCGCAGGATGAAGGCTTTGGAGCCGAGGAGGCGGGTGGTTCTTTTCGGCCCGAACCAACTGCGACGACGTGGTGTTTTTGAACAGGGAGACCCCCTGACCAATGGGTTTTAGTGAAGCGTCCTTCTTCCAGAGGGTCCTTGGGAGGTCTGCTTGGTTTCAGAGGTCAGAAATGGCACGTTGCCCATGATGTCCTTTAAAAACTATGGGGTCCTTATAAACCACCGACATTGGGGTCTGTGTCATGTACTCTCAATCCACTATACATGTTGCAAAACCCTAGGCCCTAGTTGTGAGGGTCAAAACCCTAGCCATCAAGAGTGAAGAGTGTGAAGCAAGAGTATCAAACTACGTTTCGCGGTTTTTGTGTGTGTGTGTGTGCGTGCAGCCCAATTGTTTTTTGTGGTTTCTATAATCCTACACCTCCAAGTACCTCCTCAGGTTCGGTACTTAGACCCCCCACACCCACCCCAAGCACCTTCTCAGCAGGTACTTGCCTAGGGATCATCCTTTGTTCGAGGTTTTCTATCATTATCACTGATCACCGGGGACCGATCTT